GCTGGAGTATTAAACAGTGCCGAACACTAGTCAGAATGATTTATAAACAGCTTTGTACTCTAATTTTACAAGTGTTTACTTTTGTTGACAAGGAAAAGAAAATCTAATAATTATATTTTAGAAAATGTCATGAAGGGATTTTACAAAAGTACCGTATTTATTTTAATAGAAATTCGTCTCTATTTGAACCACGGTCTCAAATATAAACACACAAAATTGGAGGGTTGAAAAATAGAACCACTGTGGTTCTATTAGAATAAATACGGTATTTATTTATACCGGTGTTTTAAAATATATTTATAAAAATGTTTTGAAACTATGGTATAGGGTACTTAAATTTTTATTATTTGGTATCGTATTATTTGAGTTTATAATTTAGAGTATCAATGTTTTTTAATGTTTTTTATAATTCTTATTGTTAGAGTGTCGGGAATCCAGGAAAGAGGAATTATCAATTTTCATTTGAATAAAAAAAGTTATAGCGAAAACAGAAGCGGCTAGAGTGCATAGGAGTTTGTACTTTCAATCTCCTTTGCGCTCTTTGTTTGCAATCAGGCCACATCCGATGGTTATCTCATGATAATAGGTAAGTGCAGGCATTAAAATTTTAATTAAAAAGCATTTCTTAATCAACCTCTCCTTTTAAACGTGCCGCTCTTGTTTACGTCTCCCTTTTTATATATATACGTGCCACTCTCTTAAAGTTTAATTAACTTCGCCTTTTACTTAAAATACCCTCATAATTAAATTTTCTTAATAAAAAATATTATAAAATTTGATTGTTAATTTCAAAAATAGAAGATTATTTTATATTTAAATTTTATTGTATCTTATAAATTTCCAATAAATTATTAAATTTTTAGAACAATTTACTTGTATTTAATTTTGTTTAAATATTTAAAATGAACAAAATTTTATTTATTTTCTCAATTTTGATGTTAAATTCTGTCGGTTTTGTTTTATCAATGAAGCCAAGAATTATTCATACAATCTATGAAGACTCGGGTGAAATCGATCAAGGAGAATCAGAAAACACTGTTCAATCACAGACCGATCAAATAAGTGAAAACTCTGTTCTATCTGGTCAAGAACATGAATCTGATCGATTTAGTATATCAAGTAAGTTATACATCAAATTTTATTTTAAAAAATCTAAAAATTTCTGAGCCAGCTTTAAAAATTTTTACCTTTACTTCCATAAAATTTACGTAAATTTTCTATTAAGTTTCTTCATTTGAACGCGCAAAAGATTTAGATGAGGTAAAATTAAGTTACTTCAAACCATTTTATTTTAAAGACATATGAACAAATCAACGATTTTTTGAATCATTATGAAACCATTCAAGATGACTTTCCGTTTGATGATCCGCAACCTTCGAGTTATGGAACTACACATCGAAACCCTGTAACTCAAAAAGGACGGCACCATGTAATTGGACGTGCACGCATTCATCAACGTTTTAGTGGTGATCGACAAAGTTTAGAGTCCACTTCTTTTAACAATCAAACTCCTCGTCGTTCTCGTGGTAGTCGCCATCGTCAAGAGTTTCAAGCTGATACTATGACAATTATCAGCATGATCATTCTCAACATGAGAACAATCACCATGGTGAAAGTAAATGTCGCTGTGCTACGATGTAAAGAAATAACAATCATGAGAGATGTGATTTTCTCTAAATTTGTAGAAAGAAGAAGAATATTTTAGCATTCATTTAAAATAAAGTAGTTCGGGAAGAAAATTGCATTTCAAGATATTATTTTCGCTAAAAACGACCATTAGTTAGAATTTATTTTGTTAAGTTATTTTTTTTTCTAAAATTAAATTGCATTTTGTTTTTCTTAATCTAACATTATTTTAACGCGCATCGTTTGTCTAGGATCTTTCATGTTTAAGAAATTTTTTATTTTTTAAACTTGTCTAAATTAGCTATCCTTTTATCTCCCTTAATTAAACAACTCTTCCATTTCTTTATAAGTTATTTTTTGATCTACCATTTTTTCCGCACTTGCATTTGTTTTGTCTTTTCTAAATACCCCACCCATTTTCCTGGCTTATTTGAACACTTTTAATTTCTCTTTCGGGGTTCCTTCTGTTCTCTCGCTGGCTTTTTTGGTTCTTAACTTATTGCTTTATTGGTTTTTATTGGCTTACTATTTGGTTTGCTTATTTATTAATTGTTGGAGTTACATATTTAATTTGGAAAATAAATATTTTTAATTTGGTTCAAAGTTTTTGTTGGAACTAGTTTTTGTCGGAACTTTTGTCGGAACTTATTCTGGATATACTTTAGCCGGTGGCCCACTCAGAAACAGGTCAAATTATATACCATTCGATTCCTCTCGGCGAGCTGAGTCGAATGATACCACTCATTTTTTGCGGAAATTCCTACGAGCCGAGATATAGGTCCTTAAAAACCGAAAAACCATAGGGGGGACCAAGCACTTTTTTGGGGTGAAAAATTCGAATATGCAAATAATAGCTCATTCGAAAGAGCTTGTAGAGCTGAGTCGAATGACACCAAAATCAACGAAATCCGACTTGATTGGACCGAGATATAGGCCCCTGAAAACTGGTTATCCAAAGGGGTGATTTTTGGAATTAAAAATTTTTTAAACATATTATAGTTCATTCGAAAGAGCTTGACGAGCTGAGTCGAATGACACCAAAATCACTGTGATTGAACAAGATTAGACAAAGTTATGACACAAAAAACAAAAAACCTAAACCTATGGAACGTCGGCGAGGCGCTTGTGCAAAACTCCGCGCTTCGCGCGGAGTTTTGCGGCACGCGCCTCGCGGGGAGTCTACGGGCGCTGGGTCTGGGCTCGTAACATAAACCTATTCCTATCTCCCTTGCTCTGGACGTATTTGGGGCCTCCGTAGCAGCAAAAATCTCCACAGATGCCATAGGTAAGGAGCTAAAATAAAAAATCATAACTTTGTCAAATCAAGTCGGATTTCGTTAATTTTGGTGTCATTCGACTCAGCTCGACGAGCTCTTTCGAATGAGATATTATTTGCATATTCGAATTTTTCGCCCCAAAAAAGTGCTTGGTCCCCCCTTTTGTTTTTCGGTTTTTAAGGACCTATATCTCTGCTCGTAGGAATTTCCGCAAAAAAAGAGTGGTACCATTCGACTCAGCTCACCGAGACGAATCGAATGGTATATAATTTGACCCGTTTCTGAGTGGGCCACCGGCTAAAGTACAGCCCTTATTCTTTTCGGTGCTTTGTTCATACGCCCCACCCATTTGTAAGTCGCAGATTAATTTTCCTTTTATAATATTCTGCCTCGGAATGTTCTAATTTCCTACTCTACATATAAACGAATGACTCCACCCCAGAATATCGACACCCAAAATATTAACACCCTAAATATCGAACCCAAAATATCGAATAACCCTAAATATCGCACCCAAAATGACGAATTACCCAAAATATCGAAATTTTTATATTTCATAATTATGTATTCCCGTGATCGAGAATGATGCTTTAACATAGGGGAATTGTTCCAACAATGGAACAAACATCAATTTGATCAATATGTTCAATCAAAGAGAGAGAGTCGATCACCAAGGAGATTCCTGAACGGATGCTAAGGTCAGTTCGATCGAAAAAAACAATTCCTCGATGTTGGAACATCATTCCAGATCACTGGAATACATAATTATGAAATTTAAAAAAATTCGATATTTTGGGTCATTCGTCATTTTGGGTGTCGATATTTAGGGTCATCGATATTTTGGGTGTCGATATTCTGGGGTGATCCCAAACGAATCTTAACTTTTGAGGCAATAACTTTTAATGTTTGAGGCAAATAAATAATTGAAGCAAAAAATAGAAATAAATCTTTGACACAAATAGGGAGGGTGTGGGACGGAGCGTTGAATTTTCTCAGCTGACTTCTTTTTATTAAAATCTTTTACTTTTGATCAAACGCTTACTTTTACGGATGAATTTCAAACGCAGGTCTAAAATAGAATTTATAATTAATTTAAAATTTATACAAATATTTTCTATAGTTTATTTATTACATTAAACATTAATTGGTATTTATATGTATTAATTTTTATCACCAGAAATATATGAAGATATTCTAAAACAATAATAAAGATAAAAGTTAAGATCTCTTTAGCCATATTACTTCCAAATTCAAGACAAATAAACATATCACGCGATAACCTATGCTTTATACTCTAATTAAATTTCTAATATATCACGGCCCAAAAAATCTGTTAAAAAATTTAAATATACCTAGGCATGTTAGTCTCTGAGAAATTAAAAAAATTTAAATACAATGGCTGTAATTTCCGGGGTTATTATATCTTATGTATATTGTTGAATAATATTGTATATTATTAAAATTTAGAAAATGACTAAAATACATTTTTTTATCCGTTTATTTTTATTACTTTATTCTATATTAATAACTAAATGTTCAATTAATGATTCAAAGATTATCTCTCGAAGCAAAGCTTATGAAGTTGATTATAAGAATTATTTAATTAAGAAAATTCCAACAAAAAATGTGACATCCTGCCGAGGGTAATTAATGGAATAACTTTTTGGTCGAAGAATATTTAAATTTTTATTTATTATTTTTTTATTTATTTTATTTAAATTTTTATCTTGATAAATAATAGTAAAATTTGGATATACTTCAGTATATGTATGGAACACAAGACTATTGGAACACTCTTAACTTTTTTATAAATTATCTAGTAATCGAATAATTAAACAATTTTTCCAATTAAAAAAAAGAAATTTAAAAAATTTAAATTTAAAAGATTTATTAAATAATGGATTTAATTTAAAAAATTCTTGCTTTATTTCCTTTCCTATTTTATTAAATTTTAGCATTCTTATCTGCTATCAAAGCCGATTGAGTGTGCACTCAGAAAGCAATTGGAAACCGAATAAACTTTTTGAATTAACAAAAAAAGGAAAAAGTCGATTATGTTTTAAATCACAACAGGAGGGTTCTAATGATCTTAAAAAGATGGAGAGTGTTAATTGGCATGGTTTTGTAATTTTTAAAAATGGAAAAAGGAATTTGGAATTGCAAGCAGATATCTTTCCAGAAGGGTTTGTTAAAATACACGAACATATTATTGTAAGCGGATTTGTGTCAACATCAACAATACACTCGGATCTCATCCGTTTATACCTCCACTCTTATTGCCTTCAATTTTATATATGGGTTTTCAACCTTGACCCGACTGTTATTACTTGGAAATAATTCTGAATTTTATTATCAAGCTAAGAACAAATGAGTATTTGTCTAGCTTTTAGTAAATTTATTATAAATATAGACTGAACATACGTAGAAAACAAAATCAGAGTTTGAAATTTTAAATTATCTCAACTTTGAAAACCTAAATTGTTTTAATAAAAATTAAAATTTCAGAGAGTTTCTGTTGCTATCGAATATAAAACCTTCGGAAATAATAACATTTTTATTTGGCAATGATAATTCAATTAAAGGTTTTGTCTTTTTTAAGTTTATAACATTTACAATATCCTTTAATAATGTTATAATCTTTAAATTTTATTTAAGAAAAAATAATTACTGCTATCAAAGACGATAGTGATTTACTCAATAACAATGTAAACCCCAGACCATTGTTAGATGAGTATGCTGGACTCATTGCCCTAAAATTGGATATGATGATTTTGCACAATAAAGATAAACAAATTAATGATATTTTGTTTTTCTGGAGATTTGTCAGTAAATGTTGGCCAAATAATGTTGGTTTTAATAATTATACAATATTGACTTTCATATTAACGAGTCCACCCTGAATGCATTAATGGACAGGATCGAGAAGAGATCTCGAACAATAACTTGATATGAGATCGAGATATCTCGTCACGTTCGGCTCTATCTGAACCCTTAATCTCTCCAAATCCCTCGACATCCTTTTATATCAAGTCCAAATCCATCTCTTTAATCCCTCAAATCACCCGATCTGTGTTGATCAGGATGATTTAGACATTTAGAGATGCCACACAAATACCTAAAAATATTTTATTCAGAAAACAACTAAAATGTTCGCAACTCAGAGGCCGAAAGTAAGAATATTTCTAAAATTAATTATTAATTTTAAATAACAGTCAACAAGAAAAATAACAAATATGAGGACTTCTAATGACGTATTTATTTTAATTTTTTGAGTATTTCTTTCAAAATATTATATTAGTTTTTAATAAAATATCTTAATTAAGCTTGAAATAGAAACAACGGAAACTATTTCAACAAGCACGAAGAAACGTCGAATAATCACTGCTGGACCTGTAAGACTTCAATCCTTTTCTTACTTAAAAATAATTTTTTTATCACCCAAGGATTTATATTTAAAAAAGTCCAATAAAGAAAATAATAAATTGGAATTAAAAGCTAATATATATGAATTGGGTTGTTTGTCTGGAAATTACAAAAAGTTACATCGAGATAATTTGGATGAAGAATGTAAAATGATTAATGATGATTGTAATAAAGAATGCGAAGAGTTTAATTTTAAAATTTTATTTATTTTTTCCAATCCTTTCAGAGAAAATTGGTCAAACTTAACAATATGTTACAAAGCCAAATTAGATCCTTATTATTTGGATGAACAAATTAATGAAAGAATTAAGGCATGGTTTAGAAAATATTTAAGTCATAATGAAATAGTAAGGAGATGAATATTTAACAACTCCAACCTCAAGGGGGATTCTTTCAGGATTTTAGTTTTTAATAAACATTTCGTTTTCATTAACAAATTCTGTAATAATATTCTTGTATATAATTCCGTAATATATATACAAAAATATTAAAATAATTTGAACTGTAACTTTGTTCAGAATCATAATATTGAAAAACTAATGCATATTTGGGCTTCTCTCAATATAGTGTATTTGCGAAAAAACATTTCATTCCAATAAAATCTGGTCTCTAATTAACATTATTTTATCATTACTACTTTTCAAAAATAATTATTTACTTTTAAGCTCAAAAATATTCAATATTCTGGTCGGAAATGTAATAAACCAGGCCAACACGGGTTAAGGATACGTGTTTGTGCTAGGCGAACTTCTTTTATTCGTGATGATGTCAATCACAATTATTCAATTAAATATAAAATTCATGCTAAGATTGGTTTTACTTATTCTCACACAAGGCAAAATATTTACTCTAATAAGATATTCTCTTTGGCGGTTCTGGATATTCGTAACTGGGAGTGTCGTACAAGAATCGAGATCTTGAAAAATTCTCTATCTCGATAACTGAAATTTTCGATCGAGATATCGTCTCGGACCCCCAACATTGTTCAGAAGCTGTCCGAATTTAAAAGATTATGATTAAAATTGTTGGTCTGTTAAAAATCTTAAGATATCGGAATCTAACCAAAACTTATTGTTTATGAAGGCAGTAAATTTCATTATTAAATAGAGATTTTCTTAACGTTTTTGTAAACAAAATTTTTTCGATTTGTATATATTCAGCTTCGTTATTGAAAAGAATGAAACGATTTTTGGAAGTATCAACAAAATAAGTAAACTTCTCGAACCTCCTCTCAAAGAAAATGTCACTATTTCGATGTTTACAATTCTGCTTGGCACAGATGATACTTTGTTTGCGAAATTAGTTGATGGAAATGGGAAAGAATTGTTTGATTATACACCAAGTGCAAAGTTTTCGATAAACATGTTATTTAAAAACGAAACTGGAAATGAACAGACAATACAAAGAATTGCTGATGGAGTAATTATTATTATAATTAATACGAGATATAGGACTTGTGGGTCATTAGAGGGTCTGGGCCTTGATAAAATATAAATATTGAGTCCTGAGTCCGGTACTAACATTCTACCATATTTAAATTTATCCTCAACTAGACATAAAATCTTAATTTCTTTAAGCAAAAGTTATAAAGGTAAGTAAAAAAATTATTATAATTTTCCTAAATTTAGAATGAGGCACTTGCACTTCTTGGCGTAGATATGGATAGCTGGAATGAAGGGTCTAATCTTTTAGATGCCATGGAATTCCCAGATAATCCGTGCCATTTAATATTAGAATTCAATGGAAATAAAATTAATTCAACAAATCAATGTGTAAGGATTTCGATTTAATTAACACCCAATGACCAGTTTTATACATGTTTCGATAACCGTTTTTCCTGATCTTTTTAAAAATGAAACCGATCAGCTTCGGAACCGCGAGATCCTTTTCCGAACCCATAGGGAAATTCTTCTCAATGTTCTTCTTCTTCCAAAATTATACCATATTCTGAAAATTTTTATTTCTGTAATTAACTATGAAATCTTTCAAAGGAAATATTTCTGAACAATAATCAATCGAAAATAAATCGGTTCGAGCTCAGAACTAATTTATACGACTTAGCTTGCAATATAAATGAACACACAGAACACAACAGAAAATTTAAAACTCAAAATAATGTCTGCAAATTTAAATCGGTTGATAGAAATTTATTAAGAGAGTAAGAAAATATTCAATTTAAATAACTGAAAGAAATATTATTTTCAGTTGGAATTCTGGTAATCTCACACTTTGCTATGAATCGAAATTGGGAGAACATGTAATACAATTTTTTACCTTTTTATAACTAAATTTTCGCATTCCATATACAACAGACACTAAACAAACGCGCGTTGTTTTGGGCTGTACCCCTAAAACCAATCGCCTAAAAAACATGATAAAGCTGCCAAGCTCACTTGGTTCTAGGATTTTCCTATGAAACGTTGCTAGGCATTTAATCATGCCACCATTTTTTACTTTATTTGCTAGGCTGAGAGGAAGGAAGCCTTGACGGCTTTGAAATCAGTTAAAAAATAGAAAACATTCTTTCAAATCTTCTTAAGACTACAAGTAAAACATTAATCAAAAATAAACTTTGCGAAAATCTCCAGGCTTCATATGTAATGCTTAAATTATTTTTTATTGTTTCAGTTTTTTAATAAAGACTAATAGACTTCCTAAGGTTAAGAACAACCCGAAAAGTGAGTATGCACAAGTTTGTTCAAATAAAGGTGTTGGAGTGCATGGAATTGAATTCAGAGTTTTTGCTACTCGAGTTGGGTTTGAAATATTTGAAAAAGAAGAACGTTACCAAATAACTTTTCGAGTTGATGTGATTATTGGATTTTCTTATTCGGAATTTACGTAATTAATTTTTGATTTACACAAAAATTGTTTTTATTATAAAAAAGGATTAAATTTGGCAAAGAATTTAATGCAAGTGGAAAATATTCAAATGATGGGCATCTGTGGTTAATAAATAGAAATGAAATATTTCCTCTACTTTTGTCTATTTCAATTGGAAATAAAGACAATAAATTCGCAATAATAACAGATGAAATGAATAATATAGTTTATAATTATGGCCGAAATATTCTCGCAAATTTTGAACAAAAAAGTTTGGAAGAAATCGCAAAGGAGGTAACTCCTCGTCTTTTCTTTCTAACAAATTATAGCATCATTTATTGTGACCGTTATATAATTAGTGTATTTGCTAGATCCCACATTAAAGATTACTTAAAGCTGTTTGTGGGAGTAGGTATCGAAGATTAAAAATTTCATAACTGTAACAAAAATTCAGTGATTATTTCTTTGAAATAAAGTTTTTTGTTAAATAATAATTTTAAAGGAAGGAGCGCTTGGTATTGTTGGTCCTGATATGCATCTAAATGGAGATTATATGGATATGAACAATTTTAACATTTTCTTAGTTACGCAAAAAGGTTGTGATTTTGCCCTCAACCTCACTTTAAATAATGAAGAAATGTCAAAACGATATGATTGTGTAAGTTTAATTTTGAAGAAACTTTCTTAATAGAATCGTTTTTTTATACTATTAAGTATAAGCGGCCATGGAATCATTGCGATTTATGGGGTTTGGAGGAATATACTAAAATGAAAAAAGCTTTGGATGAATTAAATGAAATAATGGCCAAATGTCCTTGTGATTATGAGGAACGTCCTCCGTGGATTGTAATATTTAAAAAAATTTAAATTCCAGATTTAAGGATTCTAAAGAGATGATTATTTATGATATTAAAAAGGGATGGAATTAATAACCCTTAAAATTTAGAGCTATATTCTACATATATCACTCTTATTTTGCAATCAGATTGATTCTTGGTTACGTCCAGACCCAGAAAGTAGAAATAAAAGAAGTGTCAAAGATTCTCCAAAACCTGTTAAACGTGATGAAGATGGATATGTTTCTGGATGCG